TTAGAACGTGAAGGATAAAGGAAAAGTTGTTGTAGTTTCCTCTTCATCTTGCTTACAATAGACTGCAAATAACGTTTTTTTTAAGCTTGAATTTTGAGTCTCCAATAAAAGTTAGTGATCGCAACACAATTTAAGATACACAGGTAATCACGGGAATCGAACTACCTGTGCATATTGTACGAATCTTTGTAAAAAGTAACGAGTTCACTAGCAGTTGCCTTTGTTTTTTTTTTTTAAAAATCGCGCTTCTTATCTCATCCAACTACCGTGCTCTGCAATTAAATCACTATTTGCCGCTTCGTGAATTGTGCACATTATTTTAACGCTGCAATAGTGCTATTAAATAACTATACATAATTAATTCCTGACGCTGTCAGTCATGAACGAGCAACCAATGACTGCTCTTTCATGCGAAAAGTCGAATTCTATGATTAAATTAAGAGTTGATTTCGATGCGCACGGCTTCGTATTGTTAACTATGTTATAGCTTTTCTTGCTTACTATGAATATTACTTGAATCATCCTATACGCAAATAAACTGAATTAAGAAGAATCACACGAGCCTCGGCATAGTTTCCATTTGGCCCCTAAATTGCTGAATTGGAAATATTGTCTTTCCCTAAAACTCCGAAAGCCGTAATAGGATATTACTATCTAATCAATACTCCTAGCTAGTGCCATACGCATACGTGTGTCCCCGGATGGAAACATGGAGCTACGTACATCCTACCGGATTTGAGCTGCATCTTGTGAAAAAAGTCTTATTGTACATTTTTCAAAACCGACCTTCATCCATCTTTTGTGTAAACGATTAATGTTTTCTAAGATCATTAACCTGACTCGGATTCGACTCGAGACGACAGTGAAGACTCCATTGCGAACACGAACGTGTCTGGAAAATCGACTCAAATCAATTCTGCTCTGAAGAAGGAGAAGCAGAAAAAGAACAAGAGCAAAACATTATAACGCTGCCGAATAAAGTTAGAAACCAACCTCGCATTAGTTTGCTAATCCAAGAAAATCTGGGAGCATGGATAGGGAAGGAGTATTATCTCGAAGGTAGAAAACAGTCTCTCTGTTCTACCACTGGACTTCCACCTCATTGTATCTGGAAGTCGAGTGAGCTACAGACGGTGTCAAACTGTGTTGCACTGTGGGAGTTCAACTCCTACTTGAGTACCTTCAAGGGAGGCTTCCAATCTTATATGATACGTCGTTTGTAAAAGTATGTCGTTAATTTCGAAATCTAATAAGTGAATTGCGACATTCTTTGCGACCACTATACCTTAATCATGAGTACTTAGATTGATGTGGCCCATAGTGATGATCTTATCTGGATATTATGTCAAAAAACTGTTTTCTCTTCACTATTTTGGGTAAAAGGATGGAGAAATATGATTGTTTTCTACAATGGTGCTTGCCAATAATAATGCGTTACACTGAAACGCTGCTTACTTTCATGATGGGAAAGGCATTTTTGAATTGTCAACAAAACTTAATAGTAATAATAGTAAATGAGAAGGATAAAGTTCTAGGCGTTAAACAATCCCTGAGGGATGCGCTATGCATTCGACTTCATTAAGTATCGTTGGAGGTGATAGAATCCACATCTGGCCTTTACAATGACCCGCAGTAGCCTACCGATGTGTCGAGCCAGCGCTGCTATCCTTCCCAAACAAGTTCGGTACCAATTCGCTGACCCCGGAGAAGTGGAAGGCTTGGGGGCCATGGGCGTGGAGACCGATTCCACATGTGTTGCGGAACGCCTCCGACCGCTGCGCCACACGCGCTCCTAATAGTAGTAATAATAGTAATAGTAAGTAAGTGATGGTTTAAAACTAAGAAACAGGTGAATATTTAGATATTCATATGTTACGCAGTTGATGGATATCCAGTGACTAAATAATAAAAAAGAAAAATAATGCCTTATATCTAATCAGTGGTGATTTAGTAGATTTTAAAAGATTAGGGAGGGGGAAACAATGGGGGTGATGGAAATCGATATCCACAAAATGAATGCGGCTCGTTCAGAATGAATAACGAATTTAATTAGCAGCTTATTACTGGTCTTCAGCTACGTTAATTAGTTTCCAAAATGGAAAAAGTAATTCGCATCCAGTTTACTCTATTAAAATACAAGGCAAAACAAAACAACAAAGGCAACAAAAACGTAAGACTATCCGTTAGTGATAAGGGCGGAGAGTTTTTCGTAATTCCTCATCAGTTGGATGTTGAGATAACGAAAAAGTATCTTGAAGATGCTTCGCTTTATCGCCCATCATCTGAGAAGGAGTTTAAAAGTTAATACCGAAAATTGAACCACGATTGGGTCAAAATGGCAAGGGTTGTTGATTTAAAACCATCAGTTATCTCTCAACTAAAAATTGAATTACCAACATGTCCCGTCTTGCACTTATAAAAACTCATAAGTTAGTTTTCTTCGTATTTTTGTTGAGCAAACGCGAGGTGTTACTATTCTTTGTTCACGATTAAGCTGACGTTTCGGCGGATTTCGCCTTCTTCAGAGCCTGGAAAGGTCAAGTTGACAGCAACTCACTCGGCCAGACGCCTCCATAACCAAACAAAGAAACTCCAAACCAAGATTTCAATCACTTTGAACACAGCTCTGCACACTCACCGCTTTCTATGAGGTTTCCACTAAGTAATCCACTAATCATCCTCCACTAATCATAAGTTAGTATCCAGCGATGATCTTGCGTCCACCGATCCATCGTTATTTAAGGTTAGACCTATCATTAGCTGTGTAGACGGGCCAACGGACAGGATAATATGGCTTTTAATCCTAATATTTAACCAGTTGTTGAAACACATTCCAGCCCATCTTACGAATACCCAAATGTTTCTGGATCGTCTACGTGCTGCGCAGCCCAGCAGCGCGTACTTGATGGAGTCCTTCGACGTTACCGCCCTTTATAGAAGCGTGTCGAATGACTCCGCAATGCAAGCAATATTCGAACTCCTTATGCAACACGAAGGAGAAATAAACATGTATGGCTTTAAGATAGAGCAGTTAATGGCACTCTTAAAAGAATGCTTGAGCTGCTCAATCTTCAGATGGTCCGGAAAGTACTACGCTCAAATAAGAGGGTTGGCAATGGGACTACGACTGGCACCAAGTCTCGCCACTGCGTTTATGTCTAAGATGGAAGCACCGGTGATTGACCTCGGGCGGCTACTCTTCTGTAGATATGTAGACGACTGTTTTGTTTTTTGCTCGACATAAGAGGAAATGGACAAATGTTTCGAATTGTCAAACGCACAGTCAGAGTATATCAAATTCACCCGAGAAAAGCCGAAGGAAAAATGGCTTCCATTTTTGAACGTACAAATTCACCTATCAGAAAATGGCTACATTATGAAATGGTGCGGAAAGCCAAGTAGTAAAAACATCCTGGTGCAGTACCTCTCTTCTCACCTCTCTCACACGAAAAGAGCGCTTTTAATAAACACGTTTCGAGCAGCAACCAACGTGTGCACGGAAAGAGAGAAGAGAGAGGAGTCCCGGAACTTGGCGCGGCAAATAGCCATTTGCAATGGCTACGAAGCTGTAGCTCGGGATAGGTGTAGAGAAAACGATAGATACCCCAACGATAACTCTAGCGACAACAAGGTCCCGTTTATACTGCCCTTCATCTTAAATGATGTAAGTGCAGCTATAAAACGCTGCTTATGAAGGGCGGGTCTAGAGAATTCGGTAAACGTAGTTGAAATACCACTGAGTAATCTGAGCAGCCAGCTAGTTCGTAACCGCCTATATGACCGTCTATGTGCAACGCAAAATTGCGTAATTTGCCGCAGTGGTAAAGACGGTGATTGCATGAGCTCGGGTATAGTTTATCTGATCTCCTGTAAGACGTGTGGTGACGAATACATTGGCGAAACGGGCAGACCCCTCTGTTTCCGCATAAAGGAACACCTAGCCGGAAAAAATAAACCAAATACCCCGCTAGGCACGCATAGAACCCAGAGACATAACGGGGAGGACTTTGAAGTACGTGTCACGATGCTCGCGCAAGATTCGAGAACACAAGCGCGCAAAACTCTCGAGGCACTCTGGATTAATTCCAGAGATCTGAAAATGAGTCTCAGGGAAGAACGCCTCATTATCACGCGTGGTATAGGGCAGTATATAAACCTGTTATTTTGATGGGAAGAGCACATTACGCTTCGAAGTGAATTCTGTGCGGTTGCTCTTTCTTCACACGATATACTCAGTGGAAGACTCATAGAAAGCGGTGAGTATGCGGAGCTGTGTTCAATGTGATTGAAATCTTGGCTTGGCGTTTTCTCTGTTTGGTTTTAAAGGCCTTTGGCCAAATAGGTTGCTTTCGACGTTACCTTTCCAGGCTCTGAGAAAGGCGAAATCCGCCGAAACGTCAGCTTTTACGTGAGTGGGGAAGTGGAATAGCAGCTCGTGTTTGCTGAGCAGAAGTGGAAAGAATTGTTCAAAGAATGCCGAGGTTAATGGAAAGTCGGACGTGGGAGTTAAAACAATTTTACTTAAACTTTCGCATGTACGAATTTATGCGATCGTTTTCTTTGTGTTTTGGAAGGAAACGAGTCGAAACGGAGGATCCGCATAGTGCGGTGGTGAACGCGCAAAGGGTAATACGGCAATAGCGCTAATTCGTTCCCCACCGAAGACACCTGCGGTCCGGAGTTTTGCAAATGTCTCAGCACCATTATGGTTATTTCACACGTAATACTCTGCAATGAAAAATTATAATAGACAGCAAATAAAACGTTAACGTTGTGATGCTTAATAAATTCGAATGCATGGTGCGTTTCTCAGGTATTGATCAACCCCGACAGCTTTACCTATCCTTTCATTGCTGCTATATTGTATCGAATCTTCAATGATTTTATTAGTCAAATTGTATAACCTTTCTCACAATCTGCTCAAAAACTCAAGGATTTTGCGTTGCACGTTTTATTCAACTTTTCTCTTCACGGTTCCCGTTTTTCCCCATCTACAAGCAATGGTTGGTAAAAATATATTCAGGAGTGATAAAATCAGGTTGAAACTAAAATCCTTTAGTGACTTCCTCCGAACAAAAACGAAATTTCAGGTGAAATTCTTCCTCATCAGTGTCGTCGGAAGTTTGATAGGACTGTTTGGCTTATTCGGAAATGCATCGACTGCACTTATTCTTACAAGGTTCATTCTTCTAAATTAAATCGCTAAGAATTTTTTTTGGTAGTTAAAGAGAGTATATTAAAAGAGATTTCTACCAAGGGATCTTGATAGAGGAGCACCTTCCGAAGACTTCTCAGTTAAATTCAGAACCATTGAGAGGTTTTTTATTTGAGTACTGTAGCGGTCTCATGATTGAGTATTGGAATTCGCTGTTGAACAAGCTGAATGCGGTTTTCAGGCCATCGATGAGAAATCCGAACAATTTGTTTCTGACGGCACTGGCCGTCTTCGATTCCTGCCTTCTGATCACCGCTTTCTTCATCTACGCCATGGAGTATATCATTGAATATACACAGGCGTTTAATCTGTACGTTGCCTGGCTGACCTATCTACGGTGAGCATGAATTCATTGATGATTTTGTCATATACAAACTTTCATAGCAGTTCTCCAATAAGGAAATAAATATTACGGCAATTTAGTCGTCAAAAATCATAAATTTTAAATATATCTACGATCAATCGCCGTTACCACTGGTTAGACGTCGAGTAACTAAGTCTTGCTGGCCCCAGAAACTTCATTCGCCAGAAGCCAATCAGTGGAGCCAACTTTCATAAGGGATATGGGCAGCATCACATTTTTGGTATAATACCTTTTTACTGTTTTTAACTTCAAGGTGTTCACAAGTAGCTCTTAGAGGTTTACTTTTACTATAGATGAGCTTCCGCTTTGATACATCGGTCTTCTTCTCATCTGTTGTGACCTGGTGGAGGGTAAACAGTCCGCTGCTGTCTCCAATTTTATCTCGACGAACCTCACCCATCCATGATTATGCACCGTTGAAGAGTGAAACAAAAGCTCTTCTATCATTTTGAGCAAGAAATTTTTTCTTGATATACAAATGATTCTATGAAAGTTTATGTTTTTGCTACATATTCCAACATTACATTCATTGTGTATAAGTGTATGTATTTTCGCATTTGTAATGAATGTAGATGAATTCTAGTCGCGTTCTTCTCGAGTCCCGAGATCGCTATGGTACGAAGCTCTCCTCACTAGGATTGAAATACCTGACAAGCTCGATACTAGTTTGCCCGACCCGAAATGATGGGAAACTTGGTGGGTCGGTGGTCCGATGTGACGGCGACCTTGCTCATAGTGAACCACTACCACTAGGCTACGCTCACACCTTAATTTCAGGTTATATCGCGCCAGAATTTAGATAAAGCTCAATTTGCTCACAGATGTCATGCAGGTGTCAAAACATGTTCCTCATTTGTCTGTTCTTCAATAGTCATGCATAGGATAAGTTTGTCTGCTCACTGTGCTTCAGCATGTCATTCTGTCGTTTTCTGTCCGTATTGAAATTTTGAAGGTTGCATGGTTTTTCCCTTAAATCCTGAAATATATGTGGTAGTGCTGCTGTCACATTTTACCACCGGCTGCTGTCGGTTCTCATGAATCCGAAGGAGGTGTGCTATCGTGTGACTAGGACTCGTTCAGGAGAACTCCAGTTCTGTGGCTGTCCAATTCTCGGAAAACTGATTAAGGACAGTTTAACACGCCAAATAAGACAGTGTTAGGTTAAAGCTCATTTTCACTAGGTTATTGTTTCATCCCATCCACGATCCATGTATAGGCTGCAAATAGCCGAGAGTAACTAAGCTTTCTAGAATCCATCAAAAGTATCTCAGCTCGTAATCAACTTTACCGGTATAGAACAAGCCATAGAATTCTTCACATCTTTAGCAAGAGCATACAGGTTTATTTATTTAGTCAAATGGAAGTGGTGCGCTTCTGAAACATTTTCTTCTTTTTCTGCTTTAAATTCCTTCCTAACGAGTGACGTTGCTATCCTACAAAAACATCTGACAATTACTTTTTTATTCGAAAAGCGACGCTGCAGAACAAATTCTGCGAACCTCGCAGCTTAATTACGACTCTAAGCGTTACTACTTTTTTTCTTTCTTCTTTTCCTTCCTTTTTTTTCTTTTCTTTTTCTTGATCATCATCTTCTTCTTCTTCGTCGATTATGGGATTCATACGACTAAGAAATTTTTTTCTTTGATTTTGGATATCAACTAAAATTTGGGACAAAAACAATTCACAAATTTCTAAACAAAAGTGGTTATGAAATAACAAGGCGTAGTGCCCTTCTTTTGATGTGTTCTTATGTTTCTGAATGTGACGGATGTTGCACGCTTCATTTATGTGTGCAGTAGAAGTGCGATCAACACAGGTGATGAAATCGTTCTATAACATTCCGAATACTGTAAGACTACCAACCTTCGGGTTATTGATTTCTGAGCATTAATCAATGTTATTGAAAGAATAGCTTAAAACAAAAGCGATAAAGTTCAACACTTCCAAAAAATATTACACTTTTCTCAGCCTTTGTTTTCATTTTTGTAATCAAAATTGGCAGAAAATTTTCTTCCTCTCCACTATCCTTTCACACTACGAAATGGCGAGTGTTCAACGGAGATTCACTCGCAACAAACAAACAATAAAGCAACTTACCCACCATGTCCTCTGCTTTTTCTTTTCGTTATTACAAGAGCCAAGAAAAAAGTCTTGGCTCCTGGATCTTGGCTCTTGGCTCTGCATAAATTGTAGGACCTAAGTCATCTTTTGTCAACCGTTCGTTCCTTATGAATTATTGAGTCTTACGCGTCAGTGGCATCGTTTTTCGCGTTGGTGCAGTTTTTCTTTCTTCTCAGTTTTCTTAAATTCTATCGCTCATAAAAATTCCAGCGAACGAAGGAGAAACGCGGAAAAAACTTCGCCCACTGAACTATGAAAACTTTTTTGATTTTACCCAAAATTGTGACAGATTTGCACTAGTTGTTGTGTCTATCAACTTTTCGGCTCGAACGTCTGAAGAATATGCCGACCTCTCGGGGGATAGAAGACGAATAAATGCTAAACACAGCAAATGCAGCCTTTCCAGCTATTCTTGTGCCAAAACATCATGAGGGTAAATCATATATAGTAAATATTTCACAGTTAAAAATTACTTGCTTGAACAATTCAAGGTGCATCTCTATGAACCATGAAGAGTAATATGAGCGCTATAGCACCATTTCCGTGTGGATGGTAATTTTCTGATTAGAGAAGTTTATCGTTCCCTAGTGTCCCAGAAAACATACTGGCCTCCCAATGTCGTTAACACCTGCCAGATAGTAACTATATGATGCTAGAAAAGTGAAAGCCATTCCCACCACTGATTCGCTCTCAGCCCCAGGATTTGGATGGAAAATGTCAAACTTCTGTTTTATTTGCAAGAACCTGAGATGAACCAATACCACTTTGCAAACCACATTTCCCTACTCTCGAAAATATTGATGCTCGGAGTTTAGACTGAAAAAACCCCGAAATTATACATTTGCAAAGGAAAGAGGAGGTTCCCAAATAGCAAAACTGTTGAAATTACTAGTAAATGCAGGAGACCGTCACTTTGTAATTAACTATAGATGCCGTTGAAGTATAACTACTACTTAGACACTCGTTAATCCTCACCATTCATGCATGAAAAAGGATAAAGCTCTAGGCGTTGGTCAATCTCTGAGGAATGCGCCATGCATTCCACTTCATTTAACATCGTTTTGAGGTGATTGAATGCATGTCTGGCCTATGCAATGACTCGCGGTGGCCTATCGAGCCAATTCTGCCATCCTTCCAGACAGGTTTGGTACCAATTTGCCGACACCAGAGGGATAGAAGGCTTCGTAGACCATCGGCGCAGAGTTCAATTCCACGTGTGTGTTGCAGTGGCGCCTCCAACCACTGCGCCACACGCACTCTCCAATCATGCATAACACATCATATCTTCAAGTAATTTTATTGCTATATCACTGCCATCCATTGAGATGGCAGAGGTTGTGGACGTATTAGCCGGCATCTCCTAGATCCATCGTCTTTATTCCACATTAACATTTCCAGTGCTGGTCTAGTGAGACAATTCAAAGCTGCCTGTACCATGGCATTCTTAGTTCTTCATCATAAATCCACTCACCAGCCTTTCCGTATTGGCGAGACTTTTGCTTTCTTGCAGCTCAGATTCTTTCAGTACGGCAACGTAACATCTGCTTATTGGCTCGATGGTGATGCAGCAGACCTAATACGCTATATGGTTAAATAGATATATTTACCTAAAAATTTAAAGTCTCAAGTGGTTACACTTCACATTCCCTACGAGTTCCGTTAATTTTTCCATTTGTCTTATCGTCTTTCAACCCTCGGCCACGAAACCGTAGATGTTATGTGTGGATTCGGCCGCGCTTACAGCGTAGACCAATCTTTATCTCTCCTGCAACACATCAAGTGCTGGTCCAGCGAGAATTTTTCTAGAATTTCGAAATAGCTCTTCCAGGTCGTTCTTCGGTATTCACCGTAGGCAACTGATGCGAATAAGAGAAACTTGCAACCTTTCGACTTGAACAATTCCTGGATAGCCACCGAAGTGAATGTGTGCTCGGTCGACGTACAACTCTAAGAACGATCTAATAAGCCCAGTCCGCTACACAACTAGCTCGAGGTAATGATGCTGTTCATCACGAGCATGGCGCTTCCTCAAGCCCACTCCAGTTTCACTTAACCTTCCATTTCTCTAGGTTTGGAAAATTATCCACACCGGGCCGCTCTAGTGCAGCTATCACAGGACTCGAGGGAAAATCGAGCAGACAAGTGTTCAATAACATTCATGGAAAAAACAGAAATCCTCTAGCAACAGCCGAACCTACACAAGGAAATTTCATCGACCTTCACGTATGACGAATGCGGGGGCGTGCAAACAAATCGGGTGCAAGAGGTGTTGGGAAAAGCACCGTAAATGTGAAAATGAATGATGCAAAATCGAATAATAAAATGTGATGATTTACATAGAAAACCTTTCAAATAAAGGTAAAACCCACCAAAGCAGAGGAATTTTTAATACTAAAGCATTAAGGAGAAGAAAAGGAGAAAAAAAAATTTCTAGGTTCGCGTTCGCTCTTTCGCATATCTCACAAACGGGTAGCGTCTACATCACCGTCTCGGTGACAATTGAACGTTACTTGGCAGTTTGTCAACCAAGACGCAGCAAGAGACTTTGCAACGCAGGCCAGTATCAGTACTAAATATTAAATTCGAATACCCCTAATGATTTTTTCATTCTAAAATTACATATTTTGTTCGTTGTAGTGTCGCGACTTACCACAATCCCTTCAACTTTTCCTCAATTTTAATTCCTCCTTTTAGGAGGAGCTGTATGGACAATTCTCGCTGTGACGACGTTTGCCGTTTTATTCAACGCTACTAAATTTTTTGAACTTGAGGCATGAAAAAACCTTTTCATCACATGTGCATTACTTAATAACACTGTTGTAACTTTATTTATAACATGTGTGACCACAAAGATGCTGCGATATTTGCAAAACTCCACACCGCAGGTGTATGCGGTGGGAAACGAACACGTTATTGTCCTTTTCGGGGAGTAACGCGTTCACCACCACACCATGGGCGTCCTTCGTTTCGCCTGTCTCTCACCTAGTTCTATCGATCACTGCCATCAGCAATCACCCTTCAACGGCATTGATCTGGGGAACCCAAATTGCGTGTATAAGTAGTTTCTGCGACGTTTTTTCTATTCATTAATCCAAATTTTCTGTCAGACAAACAGTGCAAAATGATTTTTTGGAAAGAAAAATATTTGCACGAAAAGAAAAAACTCAGTCTACTTTTCTACGAAGAGAACTTCATGCAAGTGTACCAGTGTGCCTTTCTCCTTCTGCTTTTTTCTTTCTTCCAATATTTTTCAAAGAAATAACAGCTCAAAAATGTTCAATTGTTATTGATTTTTCTGTAGGTCACTATGAATCCACTATGTCCTGATGGAAAGGATTGGCAAAGTTATATTTTACTGCCATCAATGATGGCTGCTAATCCACTTTATCAACAGGTTTGAATTTTACTTAGGCCTTTATTTGGGCTAAATTTTATGAACAGGTAGTGAATATAGAAAATCGATCAGATTTCAAATATTTTTGTGGTTCGGTGAGCTGTTTTTTCGCTTCGAAAGGTTGCTCTTAACCCCCTCTACTACAAAGGCACTCACTTTCTTCTGAAGTATCACTTGTAAGATGTTTATTAGAATGACGAAGAATTGGGCAGCAAGTATAGCACAAAACAAATCCAGCGAAGAAAAAATATAGTACTGCTGAAAATTTAAAATCGTAAGTGGTAAAAGCAACTGACGCAATTTTTCTAATACTTGGATCAGATTCTTCTTAGAATGGATGCACTCAGAGGTCTCTAAAAGTCCATATATAGTAAATTTCAAAAATACTCATAGTAAAAGTTTAACTGCCTCATCAGTTGCTTTTTTGCCTTGTCATAGTACGAAGGCGTTCTTTGGCGGCGAACTTCGACGCACAGCGGTGTTAGTTCCATTGGGTCGACCTCCGCCACGGATGAGTCTAAAATCTCATTATGGAAATCAAACGAGAAAAAGTTTATGATAGAACAGTCTTGTTTGAACGAAACCTTACAGGAAGGTGTTCTGCCTTCCTCTATTTCACAAAATTGAGCTTTTCGTTGAAATAAGCATGGCATGTACGCGATGAACCTCCTGATTCGCGAAAGTTTGTGGTCTTAGGGAATAGAATAAATATTTTTGAACTAGGGAGACATAATTTATCTGATTCATTTATATGATGCGACTTCTTATACTGTATGGATATATAGATCGATCAGCCCTTTCATTCGGTTTGCTCTCGCTCAGCCCTTAAGTGTTGATCTCAGCACTTTTTGCGTTCGATTCGTTTCTTCGCATTCATCACCAATGGTCTTCATATTTGTGTATAGTTTCAGCCGCTTATGAATTACTCTGTCTTTTTCGTAGACATCATTGGATGCTCGCCCAGTTGATTCGCTCTGAACTCCTGTGATACCTCTTTAGAGTATTCCCCAGTCTTGACACTACATGTAGTCGCTGACCTTTGTTGATTGCAGGAACCAGCTCAGAGAAAGTCAATTACTCATTAGCCTACTCTGGAAAGGTATAAGGCTTTCTGAGCATGATAAATCAGCGCCCCATACGTCTAAGACTGCGCGGAATCTGTAACCACTGATCTTACTAAACCCAATAAGCAAAATAACAGGCGATAAAATCAAACTTGTGTAGGAATTCGTCCAGTTTTTCATAAAGACTAATAGTTACGAGTGCGGTGCTGTTTTGACTCTGCATCAGATTAAAAAGGCTTCCATCCATCCAGAGTTGCAAACTTGGCACCAGACTTGTCAGGGCTCATAACACTTCCTGCAATCCACGTGAGAACGCTGTAGCACAGCTATCCCACGTCTCTAGGGAGAATCGGATCGCAGAGCATTCACCGACGTTCAAAAAGAAGACAGCAATGGTTAACCAATCAAGATAGCCCATTCTCTATAAAAGGGTACTGCGTAGTGAAAATTCGAGCAATATCTCTCTTGTGGATTCGGCTTGATACGACAACGAACAACCACATCGTGACAACGACGACCAGTGAACCACCGACTCGAATCAATTCGGCTCTTAAGAACAAGATGACGTCGAAACGATGTCCAAACAAATCTTTTTATCAGCCTCGTGTTTGCATAATAATCGACGAAGGTATCGAATTTTCAAGCAGCATGTGAACCCAGGTGCGAAAATTTCGAAGACCTTAGCAGGTGGTGGATACAAAGAAGCCAATCGAAATTACTAAGTGATGGAGTCCGTAGGGTAGATTTGAAGAGTGCTCGTGTGAAATAAGAAAACAGAATAATAATACAAGATTATAAAGGCCGGAAAAGTTTACCGTAGTTTATTTATAGGTCTACGCGCTGTGGTTAACGAATATTGTGATGGTTTTTCTTCCATTCCTGACACTTCTCGTGTTAAACGCCTACATAGCGTATACAATTCGAAAAAGTCTAGAAAAGTTAGACGACCATCATGACAGGTGGGTTTGATGTTCATCTTTTTTGTAAAAGTCCACAATTACGACAAAAATCTGGCCTTATCGTTCTTAAAAGATCATCGCAACCTTGTCGTTCGCTTTGTAAAAAGTGAATGAGAACGTTAGAGGGAAAACCACAATGATCTATTTAGAGATGGCGGTACTGAGAGGGTATGGGAGTGTCGTGTAACAGTAACGAATTTTGCAGCAATAACATCGTTGCTGGGAATAAGGAAAGAAAAGAAAAATCTTAGGAATCTTCTTTTCCAATACAACAATTTTGACAAACACTTAGGATGTGGCATGAATTAGTGTAGTGACTAATCTCACTGTCTTTCACTTTCACTTTCACTTTCTGGATTGAGAACAGAGATTAGACGAGCAAATTGTCGGCTTGGTGTTTTTGTGTGTGTCTGTGTGCATGTGTGCGTGTGTGCGTGTGTGTGCGTGTGTGCGTGCGTGCGTGTGTGTGTGTGTTTGTGGGTGTGGATGTTATTTTAGACTACTATAGCATTTCTCATTGATTACGGTGTGTATAAACATCGATCCAGAGCATGCCTATGGATTTCAGATCACTATCCGCTACACTCTCCGCCTCTAATGTCGCACGTGAAATTGCCAGGTGAAATAAACACAATCCGTGCTTAACAGTTTTACTTACTGCCTACTCTTTTTAATGTCAGGGTATATTGCGAAATATAACTTCAATGATACCGAGACATTTGCAAAACTCCAGACCGCAGGTGTCTGCGGTGGGGAACTAAAGCGCTATTCTCCTTTCCGGCGAGTAACGCGTTCACCACCATACCATGCGAGTCCTTCGTTTCGCCTGTCTCTCATCTAGTTCTATCGATCTTTTGCCATCAGCAATCACCCGCCGGCGGGATTGATCTAGGGAGCCCAAATCGGCATTGAACCCACTTAAGCTGAGGCTTTAGTTATAATCACAATCTTAACCGTTTTATTTACTGCCTACTCTTTTCAATGTCCACCGCAGACACCTGCGGGCCGGAGTTTTGCAAATATCTCAGCATCATTGAAGACAACCCGTGCCATTGTTTTTATACACAATGCCTACAAAACCGTAACGTTGTGCTTGTGTGAGAAACACCTTGCGGCCACTCTAAAACTACCTTAATCCGAATTTTTTGATAGTAGAGCGCATAATCAAGGCGATTTTGGCGTGTATTAGGTTACGACAAGGAGGTCCTTAAATGAGATCTAACTTTATTCAGACCACATGTGAGTTTTATAATTTATTCAATTTATTAACAAATGGAGTTGAGAAGAAGAATAATCAACTTATCCTGAATACCTTCCACGTTTCCATCATGGGATTTGTGTACTGACGATCATCTTCTCTTCAACGAATGAAATTGAGCAGATAGAACTACTAAATCTAAATGGTTCTCTACTTCAGAAACAGCTAGATATTTCGTCTAAAATGGTATTAATAGTAACAGGACGGATGGATGGACGATTATCACGGTAATTTCGAAAGAAGCTTCAGCTTTGCTAGGTTCATTGCTGCTTTCCAGATCGTTCCCGTTGACGAGTGGCTATTGATAGTGCCGTTAAAGTGAAAAATTGGATAACAAAACGACAATGGAGTGGGCTCGGTTGGTGTAATGGATATCATGTGCCCCCTGTAGTGATAATCGCGAATTCGAAGCCCACCTGATGTTCCAAGTTTTGCTCATTTCTCCCCATCCTTGTGGTTGCATTCCACATAATGACCTACTATGGAAAAAGAATCTCCTTTAACAGCTGCAACGTTTTGGTCAGATTTGAAGAGGTTGAGGATAGATAGCCACAACGATGCTGAGATATTTGCAAAACTCCGGATCGAAGGTGTTTGTGGTGCGGATCGAACCTGCTATTGCCTTCTCGAAGACTAGCGTGTTCACCAACAAACCATTTACCTATAGGTTAAAACATGGCTGAGAGGAAGGCGAAACAAAGGACCCGCACCTTGTGATGGCGAAGACGTTAGCCCGGAAAGGATAATAGCAGATTCGATCCTCGCCGCAAACACCGAAGACGGTGAAACTGCCAAGATATCAGCTGTAGGGAAGAGATAAATTCTGTAATAGCAACCTCGTGGCCACTCATCACGGAATACATCATTGAATTCGAAAGACCGACTTTCTATGAACCTCGGCATAGATAGTTGATATATTTATTTATGTGATCTTATAAACTGATCTTCTTAAGCTGACGCGAGGTTGGTACAGATCTTCGTTGTCGTTGTCGTTGTCGTTGTTTTTGATGTTATTGATCGATCAGTGTCAGCTTAAGAAGATCAGTTTATAAGATCACATAAACAAATATATCATCGTTGAATTATTGATCATTGCCGAGCTTAAATGAAACTCGGTACTGGGTTGTACTCAGCACGCTTGATGAATTCAGAGTAGTAGCTTGTGCCATGCGATGCAATGGTGTAATTCAATATCAACCGTATAATTCCACACCTTGGGTTAACCATGTTCCCCACCCCTTCCGTGTCAGCAAATCAACAAATTGGCAGCAGACTTGTTGGGAGGATAGGAACTGACTTGATATATCAACAGCTTCCACAAGTCAGCGTATAGGCAAAATATGTACTTGGTCACCTTCTAAAGGACTACAAATGAACTGGTATGCACTACGAATCTCCAAGAAATAGGCTGAGTCTATACAGAGCACCTCGACTTTTTTACGTTAAGCTGCGCCAACTGTCAGTAAATGGGACACTTTATCGCCCATAACGTCAGAGATTGGGTTTGGCGTAGCATAAAAACTATGCCTTACCACAAAATGCCAAATAAATAATAGATCGTTCTACCAGTTGATGTTTCGATTTCTTGTGGGAAAAGTAAACTTTTAAGATCCGATCATGGAATGAAAGCGTGTTAAATTCATCACGTTTTCGCCTGCTTATAACATTTATTTGTCCTAGGGTTTCACTATCCTGTTCACACGCCAAAATCGTTCCACCAGTGTAGCAAGTGCTTGGATTCCCTGAGAGAGAGTGGAAAATTTTCCTTTGGCTTCATGCTAGCTCACAGTGTCTAAGCGAATGCTGTATCCCAAAAATTCCACTAGTGATTTACATTCATTGACAGTTTATTTATGATGTAAAAAACTAATACGTTTCAACAAACGTAATTCTTCATCCAGAAAAAAAGCTCATATCTGATTTCGAGAATAATCAGCACATATTCAGAGTACCCGACCGTAGTCAGCTGAAGGAGAAAAGTAGACAGGCCACATTGGTTTTGGTTATGATTGTATGTATTTTTCTAATTTGTAACTTTTGGGGATTTGTTCTCACACTTCTCGAGCGAATCGTCGATCATGAAACTCTGGTGAGGAACAGTTTTCATTACAGTTATTCGTTTTTCCTCCTAAAAACCCTTTCTTACACACATTTTAAAACGTTTTATGCCTATGTTAAATTCATATTTCAAAGAAAATTTTTTCACAGGTATTACTAACCGAACGCCACTATGTTCACGATGAGGTGGCACGAATTTATAACACTTCCTTTTCTTATTCCAGAAAGCGGTGCAGGAATCGAATTGGTTGAAGACGCCATGTAACACACTTACGGTCTCACTGGTTCGATTCTGCACCGAGCTAACCACGTTTCCTATCCCGTTTGGCGAGTTACAACCACATTTGTCTGAGAATTACTCCAACAAATTCACAAAGACTGCGCTGTACGAGGACCCGTGGAATTCGTAGCATACCTCTCTCAGGGTTTAGGTTAAATTTTGCACGACCATTATTCGACAGCTTTCATAAAGAAGTCAAAATCTACAGTGGTAGCCGTATCAACGTACGCAAGTCCGAACAATTTCGTGGATGAGGGATGCGATAAAGCGAATCCAATATAAAAAGCCACGGTATCCGCACAATATTCACAGTCGGCGCTATAGATAGGCAAATAAACAAGTGCATAAAAATATCAAACAGTGGCTAATACTTTGGTAGGTTCATCCTTCTTCCTAAGCCATTTTTATCACGATTTTTATCGCCTTCCATCAACTCGTCACTTAACAGTAGAAAACTCTCTTTTTGGAAGAATTCTTACGGTGAGAAGAAGGAAATCATCTTCTCTGTAGGGGCAGCTCAGACGAAGGCTCGCTATCAGCGCCATTGTCAATCTTCTTCAGAATGTCACGGAGAATAACATTCGTTTAAGATATTTAAAGATAAATATTTCGACAAGGAGCAAAGATGATAGATTGACAAGAAATGTTCTAATCATGCACGACACGAACGTCCACCTGTTTCTTTGGATGACGGAGGAAAAAGCATGACCCCATTGCAAGGAATGACCATCTTAGTGTCTAAATTTTAATGTGGTAGAACTTAAATGGTGTTCATGTAGGATGGGGAGTTCCTTCCGGATTTCTTCCTAGAATAGAACCGTTGAGTAAATTTTATATAAGCGATCACACGTCAGCTCGTCAGAAAGAAGTAACTTATTCATTTCCTCCGAAGTTAAATGGAAATCGATCTTCAAAACCAACCATACGCTTTAACTTTTATTTTCTCTCTATTCTTTCTTCATGGTAGAGCACGATATGAAATACAACCATAGGTACGTTGAGTTTTGAGCAAAATTTAGACCGGAGTTTTCCGAGTTTGTGTCAGCTCGGCAATCCTGTGGTTGTACTTCAAACCATAAGTGTTTTTCTTATTTCCTGAAAAATCCTAACTGCTGATTTTCCATTTGTCGTCAGTTACAGTTCTCTTTTTCAGATGATCAAACATCACGCCTTCTACACATTTTCTCGTGAAGCTATCAATTTTCTGGCCATCATAAATTCGTCAATTAATTTCGTTATTTATATTATATTCGGAAAAGATTTCAGGTAGGTAGATGTATTTAGAAAACTTCGCTAAAGCTAATGATTTCAGTGTACTAAATGTTCTTCAATAGAAGTTGGTTTATTCATGGCAGTCAATTGAAAGCTGGTCAATTAACAAGTGATAAAAGAAATTTTTCGGGAATTTTAGTGCCAAACAATCATGGCGATTATGTGTTTTTTACATAGTCGAAGAACCATACTATAGTTTTTTGGATGAGGTCAGAATCGATCAATATTTATGCGAAACAGGCGAAAAAGCAGCCATTGCACTTACTGCCTTAACGACTGAAGCTAACTCCATTAGTTGGTTCGTTAGCGGTTAAATCGACAAAAAATCACAAAGAAAAAACCAGTTGGTGATAGCAAGATCGACATAGCGCGAATACACACGCTGGATAGAGAAATTCCATCCTAAAGCAATTTGTCGGATATACGCAATGTGGCGAAATTTGGGGTAAATCCGAATATTTCACGATATGAAAGGATTTTAGACCCTGCTCGAAAGAGCTTCTTTCGCTTTCTGTTCTTCTAAAAAAACACATCTTAAACTTTGATTAGTTATTTATGTTGAAGTATGAAAAGTTCAAAAGATATCTGTTACTCTGATTGATTCCTGAAAGACATACGGTAAGCATATTTCCAGGAGAGAACTGGTCGTTGTATACGGTTGTGGAGTACGTGGTGTCAGCATAAGATTACCGGTAATTGATAAGTTTCATATTTGGCGAATATGGAACAAAAGGGCAAAAGAGCCACGATGTTTTGTCTGTCTGCGCCGACGAGGTAGTCGCAGGTGTGATAAGGTGAGAAAACAAACCAAAACCGCACATCTATTCTGTTTAAGCATTCAAACTGAACTACAAGAACAAAGCGATACGTCCACGAAAAATACACACAACGTTCTTCTGATGAACATCAGCTGCCGCTAAAAGTTTTTTTTGTGAATGCCACTTAATACTGCTCGAGAGCCAATTCTTTCCGAAATTCTGGAATAGTTCCGCAACGACCTTCCTAATTTTTCACTACTCACGGCGCTGTGTGAATCCGAGGGATTTTCGAACTTTCTCTGTGCAAGTACGGTACAATTTTCTAACCCTGGAGGGATGGTGGGCTTCGGAGCTAAGAGCGCGGCTAACCCATGTGATCCAGCGACTTCAGAGTAGACTTTGCTTGTCTTTTTCAAGCCTAAAGTTACAGTGGAAGCTCTTCTGGATAGAAATACGTGCTGGGTGCAGTGCTGTGGTCACCTTTAAGAAAAAAAGAGCGCAGCAATGGCTAATTTTTCCTTACTGTGAAAAAAACTGATGATGAAATATTAATTATTGCCTCTACTGGTACTCGTACTGAGCTGTTCATTTAAATTGCCTAGATAGCTCTCTGGATTTGCAGTCCATATCAGCCGTTAAGAAGTGGTCCTTTCGATATTATTTATATTTCAGTGAACTTTTGGACGATACGCTTCCAATCACGGTATATCCTTACATGGTTTAAATGTTGTTTTACATACTCAATGACGAGATAACTGAGCGTAGTGATATCCCTTCTCTCTATGCCCTTTTCCTTTAATTTAGCCCTCTTCCAATCGTATCCCATATGATGAGGCCGTCAAAGTTAGACGTGGATGCTCCTGCGGCTTGAGAATCTGGTAGTTGCTTCCAGCCGTGAACAATGCTGCCGCACGCATGCTGTCGCATTGGCCCTTATTTCGGAGCTTTATCTCGAATTCGAAATAATTCTTTCTACTCTATATCCTTTCTGCCACTTGTCGTTGGGGTGTTCTTCGGAAAACTAACCCACTGTAAATGACTTATGACTATGAACGAATGCTTTCAGCAAAATCCAGAGAAATAGAAAAAAAATTAGAACAGGTAAAATCTGCAGTGCAGAAATTACTATTAATATGTGCACGCCAAATTCTAAGCCTTCATCAATATCGACCCATGAATTTTCTGCGTTGGATGGTTTGGAGCAGACGCAGCTATCCGAAGAATCACTACCTGAACGAAACGCAACAGATGCAGAGACCGACATCGTGCCGATACGAAACAAAAAAAATGAACCAGGTAAGACCAATAAGAGAGAAAATGGTTGAAATATGTAAATCTGCGACGATTCATAGTTTTTCAGTTAGAATTATTTTATTGGAACCGATAAACGGTACAGCTGGAAGAAAAACAGTGCTCACACTTTACTCGACGGTCGACGATGAGATGCCCGAACATATCTTATTCACATCTGAAGAGGGAACGCTGTGTTAACTTTACATCCATAGCTTTTATCGCTACTACATCTCCTTTGCCATTTAAAATTTGTTGTTACTTGCATCCAACTTTACAAAAATAGTTAGTGACGTAAAACCAGTCATAGTTTTTATTGATGTTGCTTAAAAGCCATCACCATGAGTGACCTCGAAATGTGGTGGAGTGCCTTAGCTTGTTGTCATCTCATATCTGACCAGCAAACTCTATTATACTGATCTTCCTTCTGTATTGTATGCAAATGTGATCGCGACGATGCTATTCTACCACGAATACGGCTACTTTTACATAAACCACTGGATAACGTTGTTAAATTGATTGATGGGTGCTAACGAACTTTAAGATCACAAAAACATAATGTAATATATCAAAAAGTGTATAATGTAATAATTATAACGATGCTGAGGTATTCGCAAAACTTGGACCCTGGGCCAAATCGAACCACGATTTCCTCTTCCAGTAGCTCGCACATAACACACTACATCACGAAAGAGATCCTTGCGGTGTTTAACGTTTTGTTTTCTGCCTTCTATAATTTTCATGGCAGGTTACTAAGTAAGCGAAATACAACCACAACGTTGCT